TTGTTAAGTTTAGCCATTCTGACTGGTGTGGGGTGGTATCTCATTGTGGTTTTGATTTGTCTTTCCCTGATGCTGAGTATTTTTTCAAGTGTCTGTTGGCCATTTGTATGTTATCTTTGGAGAAATGCCTGTTCATGTCTTCTGCCCATTTCTTGAGTGGATTATTTCTTGAGTGTTCTTTGGGTGTTGAGTTTGATAAGACATTTGCAAATATCTTCTTCCATTCTGTCAGTAATCTTTTGTTTTGTTGACTGTTTTCTTTGCTGTGCAAAAGCTTTTTATCTTTTTTTTAATTTAATTTAAATACTTTTTTAAATTAATCATTTTTTTAAATTTATTTTCAGCATAACAGTATTCATTGTTTTTGTACCACACCCGGTGCTCCATGCAATCCGTGCCCTCTCTAATACCCACCACCTGGTTCCCCCAACCTCCCACCCCCACCCCCACCTCTTCAAACCCTTCAGATTGTTTTTCAGAGTCCATAGTCTCTCATGGTTCACCTCCCCTTGCAATTTCCCCCAACTCCCTTCTCCAAAATCAGGTGATTCTACTTGAGTATGGTTTTGGGGTTGGATTATATGGGTCTGTCATACTGATTAAAGGCAGTAAATGTTTTTGGGAGTTATAAGACACATTTTGTGTAAAACTTTATTTGTTGGCTTTCTTATTTTGTCTGTTTTGTTAAGGAGGAGAACGATTCTATGATCTGACTTCACTAGATTTTTTCTGAAGTCATATATGTGTATTGAGAGCACATCATCTGACAAAAAAGCTGCGTTAATTTAATAGTGTATTTTAAAATATCTTGGTCATAATGAACTCAAATCTTATTCTCCACCCATTAGTCCCAGTTGCGTCCTCTGATTTTGTTTTATTTTGTTAATATCATTTCAAGAATGGGGTCTCCAGAATTTACTCTTTTCCCTGAATAGGGTTGGACCAGTGAAGAGAGGTTGTGGACAGTTGATTTTTATTAATGCAGCCCAAAATGACATTAGCTTTTTTGGTAGATCTTGCATTTGATCAGATATCACTTCCCTAAAAAGTTTCTCTTTCACGTCTCTCCATGGAAACCTACACAGTACTTTATCATCCAGATTTGTAGAAATTTGTTTAATAAATGTATCTTCACTTGACTCAGCAACATGAAGGCAAAGAAGCTGTTGTTCATCTCTTCATGATTATTGCATCTTTAGGTGTAATACAGGTGTCTGGTTGCTAGAAAGATGGCATACATTTGTTGAATTACATGAATGAATATGATTGTTTTGAAAAATTAAAATGCAGAGTTATGTTTCTGCATGCATATGGGAAAATTTTATGGCTGTTTTGAATTATCTTAATCTCTGTATCGGGTGGAATATATTCTTGAATAAAACTATGAGCAAGCAGCTTGAAGATATGAAAATACATAGGTAATTTTTAGAAGAATTATTTTATGTTCAAACTGGTTATGAAATAAACTTTACCCCTCAATGCTGGATAGAGAAAATAATTGAATTATTTGAATATATCAAATTTGTATGCTAATTATTGATGATTTTGTGTATGGATGGTGGGGGGGAGGTGGAGAGAGAGAGGGAGAGGTGAAGTGAGGAAGACTGAGAAAAGAGATACTGATTTGAAAAGGTCTGGCCCCTGCCTTTGAAGGGCTGAGTTTGATGTAATGGGAAATGGATAATTACAGCACAAAATAGGGAAACTGCATCGAATGCGATCTAGGTTTTCTTGAAGTAGCCAGGAAAGCTTTCGCAGATAAAGCAAATTTTGATTTTAGCGTTGAGGAGGAAGTGATCAATGGTCTTTTTGGCAGAACACGAGGAAATGAGGCTCTACATGACTAATTGATTTTCACTTCTTCATAGCTTTTCCAAAGTTGAATTCTTTGCTGAGGTATTTATAGCCCCCCGCCCCGACTGAAACCAACTTCTACTTGGTGGAATATGTCTCTCTCATCTTCTAGAATGACTGCGGAGATGACACCCTAGACTGAATGTAGCCCCTGTTTGGTTTGCTGTTAATGAGTTATGTGATCTTGGGTAAGTCACTCCTTCCAGACCTAAAGGGTTTGACTAGATAATTTCTGTTCCCTTCCAGTTCTAAGAATTTGTGAGCCTTCGGAAAAAGATGCTGGGCTCTGGTATTAAGGGGATTTGTACATTTCACTTCTGGAAAGTACTCTTCTCTATTCTGAAAGGAGTAAAAGAAACGGAGTCAGTTATTATTGCAACTACTTTGAATTTTTCTTATTTTTTAAAAAGTGAATGTTTTAGACTTTTCTGAATAAATTACGGTCGGGGGCAAGGCAGCTAACTCACGATCAGGTGTTTCCTGCCTATAAAATCTACTGGCCCTTTAAGAAAAAAGAACAGGGCAAGAGGGCGCGGCCTAGGGACTCAGGTGCCAGCTAATCCGGCTTCTTCCGGGAAAGTTGCCCTAAATCCAGTCATATGGCATCCTGGGATTTGAAGTTTCTCTTCGGGCAACTCTCTTGATGGCTCCTTACTTTTGAGGACAAGATGGACTACAACTCCCAGAGGGCTAAGCGGCAGCAGCGGGGTTTTGTACTCTCGCCGTGGCTAGGCGGCTAGTTCAAGTTGCCATAGCTGCGAGTCTGTAGAGAGCACAGTCGGTTGCGCCGCAGCGTCAGGTCAGTTGCACCTTTTGGGTCGCTGGCGGCCGTGGGAGCCGGGAGGGGCCTCGGCGATGATCCGGCTTTAAGGACCTGGGGTCCTCTTCTATCTCAGGTACCTGCCCCCAACCGCCTCCTCACCCTTTCTTTACTACTTCCCTATTCTATCTTAGAAGTTTTAGGTCCTTCTTCCACTAGTCCCAGAGGTGGGGACGCCAAAGCTGCGGAAATCTGGGTGTGGCGGTGGAAGGGTGGAGTGCGAAGGGTGGGGGGAGACAGCGTGCCAAGTGTCCCCACGCCCCTTCCTCAGCATGAGTGTTTACGGTCCGGTCGTGGTTAGGTTATCCGGGGAATTTGAACTACATAGGCCTTTTGGGGGGAGCCGGTAGTCTTGGTGCCAGCAGCTGCGAAGCCTGAGCTGTCAAGGATATTGGGCTCATTCTGGTGTTAACTTGCCTGGGATATAACGACGTTTTGTACGTGTTCTGTGGTTACAAAAGTGCTGCTTTCTGGAACGCTGTATTAGCCACCTGGCTTTCCTAGGCCATCGTGGAAGTTGGGTGTTAACAGTCCCTTACTTAAATTATTTCGTAGGAACACCTCATATTGAATGCCAGCTGCATCCTTTATTGGTTTGACGAAGCTCGGTCACTTAGGCAGATGTCTTGTAAAACCACTTTGCAGCCTTGTTCTGAGTAGGGTGTAGGGTATTTCACACATGGTCTGACACAGTGGAAGGGGTCAGTATTTGTTATTTATTTATTTTAATTCTGCAGGACTGTGCTTGGTTATAGAAATATAAGATGAGCCCCACACACAAGTTTTAAATTTTCTAGTACTCACGTTAAAGAAGTAAAAAGAACCTGGTGAAATTAATTTTAAGAATTTATTTAGCACAGTATATCCAGAACTTTTTCATTTTAACATGTAGCCAAATGAATCTTTCTGAGATATTTTACATTATAAAACAATTTTTTCAATGGCACTAAGTCTTCAAAATCTGTTACATGTTTTACATTTACAGCACGTGTCATTTGGAACCCCCCAGATTTTAAGAGCTCAGTAACCACATGTGGCTAGTGACTGCTGTATTGGCAGCATAGAGAGAAGCTTAAAACTTCAGCCATTTCACACTGGTACAGAAAAATTTGGTTGTTTGTATGACTTACCTTGGGAAGTTTGCCTCTTTGTTAGATGAGTGCATTGTGTGTGTATGTTACCCATGTCTTCTCTGTCATTGCACGACATGGGTCACTTTGAACTCTCTGACAGTTTATTTTGATTTAATTTTTGCAGAGTGCATTTTTCTTCGGTTGTTTATATATGTATTCCCAGAACTACTTCTTAAAAAAAATTTTTTTTAATCTATTTATTTGTTTGACGGAAAGAGATCACAAGTAGGCAGAGCAGCAGGCAGAGAGAAAGGGGTAAGCAGGATCCCCACTGAGCAGAGAGCCCGATGCAGGGCTCGATGCAGGGCTCGATTCCAGGACCCTGAGGTCATGACCTGAGCAGAAGGCAGAGGTTTAACTCACTGAGCCACCCAGGCGCCCCTTCCTGACTGCTTTGAAAGCAGTCACAAAGAATTGAAAATATTTCTGTCCAGAACTCTGTCTTACCACCAAAGACATTTTACTTTTACTTATTGTTTTGCAGTACTAAATGTGGGAAGAGTTGGGCAGCTTATAAAATATTTCCTTGACGTATGCTAGTAGATAGTTCATTACCGGCTTAGAAATAGAATTGGGCTCTTTTTTTTTTTTTTAAGATTTAATTAATTTATTTATTTGACAGAGAGCTCCCAAGTAGGTAGAGAGGCAGGCAGATAGAGAGAGGAGGAAGCAGGCTCCTTGTTGAGCAGAGAGCCCGATGCAGGGCTCGATCCCAGGACCCTGGGATCATTACCTGAGCCGAAGGCAGAGGTTTTAACCCACTGAGCCACCCAGGCACCTCTAGAATTGGGCTTTTAAATTCAAAAGTAACATGTTACCTTCATTGCCTGCCTTAGTGAGTTCACTCACAGATAGACGTGCTCAGGGACAGTATTTTTAGCCAGACTTGGGCTACAGTTCACACTAGGCCAGCCCAAGGGGTTACGAGGCATGAGTGGAAGTGACCAGTAAAGAGTATGCTGGCTGGATACTTGGATGTGAAGAATTCCTATGAGTTCACTGGGGCTTTTGCATGACACAAGGGACATTTTCTCTGTTGTCTGTTATGCTGTAAATTGTGCATGGTGAGGGTGAGCTTATTTTCATCCTTTATTATATATAAAAAAATTAAGGTTGTAGTTGTATCTTACCCCCTTGTTTCATTTATCTGTAGGTGGTTTGGGGAAAGCGTAGGGGCGACCAAAGATCATCTACTTGACGAGGCCTTTTGCCCTGAACCTCATGAAGAAATGATAGGAGGCAGACATATGTGCCTAAGAAGAGCACTGAGGAGAACACAGAGGAGAACAACACGGAGTTTTGGGGGTGTGCTTTGTAAGTAGGCTTTCTCCCTAAGTTTCTGAGTTAACAGATTTTCACACAGGGTTGCTAAGAGATGGACTTTTGGGGGGCAAGAAACTCCTTTCTAACCTGCAGTATAAAGATAGGATGGTTGTGAAAGGGGTGAACAAAGTTCAGATGAACAAACAGATTTGATGTTACAAAAATTCAGGGCAACAAACCAGATAACTTAAAAGCAACAATGATGTAACTGTTTCTGTTAGACAAGTATTTGAGAACCTATTTTGTCCCAAGCAATGTTTTAAGCACCTTTTACCTGTTATTGATATAATACTTTAATTCTTATTTTCATTTTGCAATTGAGGCAGTGGAGGTTCAGATAGATTTTTTTTTTACTTGCTTGCTATCTGGAGCCAAAACAGTGGTCTTTTCCCCAGATCTTTTGACAAATCCCAGCCCTGCCCCCTGCAAAGAGGCTGCATTGATGTTTATGATTGTTCTCTAATCAGATTTGATTTACAGTTAACATTTTTAGATTAGATATACTATATAAGCTGTGTTTACTGTTACTTATCTCTTTATATGTTCAAAGGGGTCTATTAGCCTTTTTTTCTTTAAAGATTTATTTATTATTTGGGGGGGTGGGGCTAAGGGAGAGGGACAGAGAGAATCTTAGGCACACTCTTTATTAACCATGGAGCCTGATGCAGGGCTCGATCCCACAACCTTGAGATCATAATCTGAGCTGAAACCAACAGTGGGATGCTCAATCGACTGAGCCAGCCAGGAGCCCTAATATTTTCATATTGCATTTTGATAAAGGGCCCTTCAATATAGAGGGGAGATGCATTGGGACCTTGCAATAACACCATGTACAAGATCTATGTTGTACAAAATTCTTAGAATTAAGGAATTTTAGAGAGGTGGAGGGGCCTGATTAGAATAATCTAGCCCAGAAGTTCTGAACTGCTGTCTTGATACATCTGGGAATAATATGAAAATAATCTAGGGTTCATTGTTATCTGTCTAATATTGTCACTAGTTTGATTCTCTTATGAAATGTTTCCAGTCTGTTCATACTATTTTATAGTGTGTTTTTCTTTCTTGTTAATGCATTACATGTTAGCACATAAATTTCTATCTTGTCTGTTTTAACTGCTACCAGTCTCAACGACTGGATCCATTTAATGTATTATTTGTTTTTTCTTGTTTATTTATTTATTTATTCTCTTTACTAATTCTGCAGTGAAATTATGCACACACCTACATGTAAGATGTATACATTCATCTGCTTTTATTTTTTTGGAATAATATTTATTATAAAATCTCTGAGTCAAAACATACATATTACTTATTTTTGTCTTGTCAGTTGTCTTCCAGAAAAGTTAGTCTATGTTATTTATTTATAAAAGATTTTATATATCAGTAGTGAAGTGACCAACCTACGCAGTAGTCCTCATCAAGTGAATCCCAAATAGAAATTAAAAGCACACACACAAAAAGATTTTATTTATTTGAGAGAGAGCGTGTGCATGCACACACACACACACACACAGGAGGGACAGGAATGGGCAGAGGGAGAGGGAGAAGCAGGCTTCCAACTGAACAGGGAGCCCATGCAGGGCTGGATCCCAGGACTCTGAGATCATGACCCAAGCTGAAGGTAGACGCTTAACCAACTGAGCCACTCAGGTGCCCTAAAAAATTATTCTAGTTAATACTCTTAAAGCAAGGTGTACCCATGTCAAAGCTTTTTTTCATCTGCACAAAACAGAGAAACAAGAAAATGATTTTATCATTTTAATTTGCAATTGTTAGGGAAATAAAGTACGTTATATGTTAGGGCTGTGTATGTTCTGTGAATAGCCTGTTTACATATCCTTTCGTATCCTTTACTACTGCACTGTTTTTTTTTTCCCATTTTTTAAAAGAGATGATTAATCCCTTCATTTTCATATATTGCAAATATTTTTCTGTGTTTGTCCTTTAGATTTTTAACCTTGTTTCTGGTATCTTGTTATTAATTGTTACCAGTGATCCTAAGAGACTGATCAGGCCTTTCTCAGATATGCACACCTCCCTGAAATTCTTATGACTCTTAACATAGATCTGTACAATGCTGGTGCTCCGAGTGTTTGGGAGATGGGAGTATTTGTAGTTACATGAATCCAGTTAGCTGATGAACATTTAGAGTCTACCCTGTGCATCAAATTTGCCATGTAAATGCTCATGACTGAATGAGTGAGTGCTCATGGACAAATGAGCTTAGAGGTGAATGGAGGGATGAATTAAAGTAAGTAAGCCCTGAACTAGGCTTTTCTGAATGAAGAGAGATGTCACTGAAGAAGTGACCTATGATTAGTATTTATTTATTTACTTGGTTGTCAAATGATCCATTATTGAAATATTTCCCTTTGAAGTTCTTTTTTTTTTTTTTTTAAAGATCTTATTTATGTATTTGACAGAGAGAGAGATCACAAGTAGGCAGAGGGGCAGACAGAGAGAGGGGGAAGCAGGCTCCCCGCTAAGCAGAGCCCTGAGATCATGACCTGAACTGAAGGCAGAGGCTTAACCCACTGAACCACCCAGGCCCCCCTCCTCTGTAGTTTTTAAATAGTTGGGCATTCCACTGCACTGCCTGTTGATGTCATCTATGATGTCATGAGGGTGCCAGCCGTCAACATTGCAGCTCACAGATTGGACAGTCCCTAGGATCTCTTTAATGGTTCCAGAGAGTTCTCTGGCTAAAGATCTGTGACAGATCTTTTAGACAATGTTGACAGTCTCATCAAAAGTAATATGTCCACTGTGGTTAATGTTTTTCTGTTTCTTTCTCTTGGTGATTCCTTGAGGGTTTTGATAATCAGGGCAGAGACAGAAGGTCCTACTTAATTCAGACCCCAAGGGCCCATCTTCCGGGGCCAGGGCAGACATGGTTCCACACCAGTGCACATCAGGTACACGAGTTTGATCTTATTGGAGTCAAACCTAGATGGCATGGTGGAAATGGCTAGTGTTGGATGAACTTGGATTTAGGATGACTGAAGGCAGTTGCACCTTGGCCTCCTCTGACCCAAACACTAAAAGCCCTATGATAGTTTTTTAAAGGAAGAAGAGATAGGCAAATTTTATAGATCATAGAAAGAAAGAAAAAGCTTGATGGTGGGAGAGTGAAGGCTTTAAAATGGCAAAATAGGTTTACCTGTGAGCAGTGATTGGTACATTGAAGCAGTACTGAGAATGGACCCAGATGATAAAGAGCCTAAATAATTGGGAGTTTAGAGCTCCACAGTACAGATAAATAAAAATTGAGAAATGCAGGTAGCTGCAAATGACAATGATAAACTAAAGTGATTTGTAGTAAGTCAAGGGAACTCTCTAAATTTGATTCACTTATAAGTTTTAATACATGTATTCAAGTCAATTTGAAATGTTTGTCCTTGTTTACTTTAAACAGACACATTATCAAGTATTCATATTTACACTGTTTTTTCAGTTCAATACATATTGTCTGAAGGCTTAAGATAATTTAGGCCATTTACCACTAGAATTATTTCATGTAGCTGTTATTTAATTAGTACATGCTATTTGTGAAGTCCTGTTCTTTGAAATTTGTCTCTGGATTAATTAGGGTAATAAAGACAATTTAATTGTAAATTCATTTAAAAATGTTCCAACTACATGCCCAGCACTATGAAAGGTATTGAAACACAACCATGAACAAAGTAAATAGAGTCTCTGATGAAATTTAGAGTCTACTGAGGGAACAGACCAGTAAACAGCCAGGTAGCAGTCCATGGGCTGAGATGAAGTTGTATTCACTGTGGGCACTTGGCCCAGAGTTGGGACAGGGCAGTGAAGGAAAGCTTTTTAAGGGAAGTTTCCTGTAAACTGAGATTTGAAGGAAAAAGTAAGAGTTAGTAAGGGAAGGGAGTGAAAAGAAGGTTCTAGGCTATGAATCCGGCAGGGAAATGAGTATGCCATATTTGTTATACTTGAGGAATTGAAGGAAAATTCCATGACATAAACAGTTACAGTAAGGACATATTTAATAAATGTCTTCTTATGATTATAGAGCTATAAGAATGTTAAGGATGGAAAGATCCCTTCTGCCTGGAGATGGAAGGCTTCACTGAGACTGTATTATTTGTGCTATGCCTGGAAAGATGAGTGAAATTTCATTAAGTGGCAATAGTACACAGCAGAAGGTGTTCTAGACAGAACTCACAATATTAGGGAGGGAGGGAAGTGATAGGAGAATAGTTGGGATCAAGAGCTGAACGCAGACCTTATGTTTTCTATGGTTCTTTTGTTGGAGAGGAGGGTGGCTAGGGGAGGGTCTTGAATTCCTGATTCAGGAACTTAGACTCAATCTTACATGGGCAGTGATGTGTCCTTGAGAGTTGGAAATGCTAGAAAAAGACTCACAGTTAGAGAAACCATTTTGGTGGCTAGGACTGAGTTGAGAAAAGTCCAAATGATGATTGGTTGCAGTGGCAATGAGAAGGGATAAATAGGAATGTGGGCATTGGAGAAATGTTCAAGACTCAGCCTTGTCACGGGAGCTATATATAAACTTGGAGACTCATACTTAGCTTCTTTAAGCCTCTTATGTATATATTGTGATGACAATAGTACTTTGTAAGGTTATTGTCACATGATAAGCTGTTATGTGAAAGCCTTATTCAGCATTAATATTTCAACTTTTTTTTTTTTTTTTTCCTGAAGGGTTTTGAAATTGAGGTTTTTAACCAGGGTCTACTTCTATGTACCCAGAGTAATTTAACTTTTAAATGTAATTGGTATTCAGTGATACTGTAGTACATTTCATTATAATTGGATTCCTTTCTAACCCTATAGGTTTTAACATTTTTATTCATGCTTTTAAAAACATTCCGAGAAACAGTTCATGGTTCAAGTTAAACTTAAGAACTCCAATGACCTTTTTAAAATAAATTTTCTAAGTGTGTGTTTTTTTAATATTTTGGAAAGAATATACAAATCATTCTATTTATCCACTTCTAAAACTCTAG